CATATCACTTGCTATCATTGTAATGTAACAGAACCATCCTGTTTCCAAGCTTCATACCACCGACTCACTTCTGATGATCCACATTAAAATTTGTATCAATATTTACTTCATTTACTTGTTGAAAAGGATGTGTGGCTAATTTTTATTTGTTTTTCACAGATGATTTTCCCAAGCCACAGATTAGAACACACCCTGAGACTACAGTTGCGCTTAGAGGAACCAATGTTACCCTGACTTGCAAGGCAGTGAGCAGCAGTGATTTGCCTATATCTGCTGCCTGGAGAAAGGACAGTGAAATATTGTATGATGCAGATATAGAAAATTTTGTCAGGTACCAGCAACAAGATGGTGAAATCCTGGAATATACTTCTATCCTGCATGTTTTCAATGTGAACTTTACTGATGAAGGAAAATACCAGTGTATCATCTTCAATCACTTTGGGTCCAATTATTCGAACAAGGCCAAGTTGACTGTCAATGGTATGCAGCAGTGGGGGTTTTGTTTTATTTTGTTTTAAGAAGAGAAAAGCCTTTAAAAATTCTTGAAATTAGTTTGCATAAAAAAGAGATGGACAGCCTTTAGCTCTCACTTAATTCCAACAGCCCATTGCAGGTAAGCAATTTAGATCTCTGACAAAAGTGATCTCACTCCTCCCAGGTAGTGCTGTGTGGGGAGAAGAGAGGTAAGAGTCTAAGAGAAAGAAATGTGTTTATATAACCTTTGGCTATGGCTTCATTGGAATGTGATGCAACCCCAGCAGATCACTTCTGTGGACATGTGGTCTCAACATAAAAAAAGGATTGCCCACATCCTTGCAGAGTTTGTTTAGCTTCCAGGTGTATACCAGTGGTCTTTCTCTTTTCAGTTCCTTTCTAAAATAGTAGATCTAAAGAAATTTAGCTGGTGCTAAAAACCTTCTAATTGAAAGACTTTTCATATAGAAGCTAGGCATAAAAACCATTTTTCCATTTTTTTAAAAAAAAAGGATAACAAAAATCAGCACATAATACTAAGGATTCTTAACCATGGTTTAGGAAAAAAAATTGTAGCATGAGTTTGCATATCTTGCTAAGTCCAAAACAAACAAGCCACATTATAGTTTAACCCGGTGTGTTACTCAATTTCTTCTTGGCTCACTGCTTCCAAAATGGCCAAGTTGAGCAAGAGGAAGAGGCATGGCAACCACAGCAGTTCTGTGAGTGGAGATGGTTGTGGCAACTGCAGCAGCAACAGTTTTTCTGTAGCTGCATGCCTGGTGTGCCTAGAGTCAAGAGAGCTGTGACATGAGGAGTTGGTGGTGGTGGCAGCATTAGAAAAAAGATGATGGAAGAAAGAATGGGAGCAGCAGTCACTGCCCTCTGCAGAAAAGCTGGTGCCTAGTCTTCCAGGTGCAGCTGTTGGAGGAGACCTGCAGGAAGAAGGTAGTAGTGCCAGCCACCATGGCAACAACCACAATGGCAGCAGGAATTATGCAAGCACTGTGGGCAGTGTCAAGACCCACCTCTTCCTTTACATCGGGAGAATGACTGCCCAGAAGTATTTGGGCAGCTGAATGCTGGCATTGCAGTGGAATTGGGTGCATACTATATCCAGATGGTTGGAAATCTTAAAAAAAAAATAGCCAGTTCACAGGAATTGGACTGAGCCAATTATATAACATCCTTATATTCAGTGTTATATATGAACTAGCCAAGAAGTAAATTATATGAAAAATATTTGCCCTTCATTCCTTAATGTACTAAATTATATCAGCCCAATAAGGTTGTCCAAGTTGAGGAGGTTTTATTTGCTTTAATGAAGATGTTCACTTTCTTAACCTAGGTAAGGTAAAAAAAAAAATGAGTTCTTGAACATGGGTTATTCCAGAGAAACTGGAAATTATTTTGCTTTTTTGTTTTTCCCTCCAAATCATTGTTAAACCTTGTAGTAAATTAGATCTTGAAAAAAGACCAGATTGATGAATCCTAATTTGCAGATGAGAAGGGTGGTTTTTGTTTTTGGGTTTGTTTTGGTAGGTAAACAACTGTCTCTTGAGTCAGGAAGTGCTGTTTAGGGTAATTTTTAATTTTGTTTCCTAAAATCCAGTTAGTTTTCCAAGCATTTTACATAAATCTAAGCAAAAAATGTTTAAGACTTCTAACAAGGGGAGAGTTATGGATTCTGTGTGTTTGTATAGGGAAATTTTACATGTTAATTCTAATTTATCTTCATTCAGAGCTGCCTTCTTTTGTGAAAACTCCCATGGATTTAACAGTACGTACTAGAGCCATGGCTAAATTGGAATGTGCTGCAGAAGGCCATCCATCACCCCAGATATCTTGGCAAAAAGACGGCGGCACAGATTTCCCTGCAGCTCGTGAAAGGCGCATGCATGTCATGCCCGAAGATGATGTCTTCTTCATAGTAAATGTAAAAATTGAAGATATGGGGATTTATAGTTGTATGGCACAAAATGTGGCTGGCATTATATCAGCAAATGTAACATTGACGGTGTTAGGTAAGCAGACTTGAAGCTACATGAATCATTTTATTAAATCTTCATACTTGGATATACTTGAGCTGGTTTTCATCTATGGGGAGAAGATTAGAAGCATCTGTTGTCCCTCTGAGAAAGTTAAAATCAGTTAGTGTGTGTTGGGTCTTAGGCATTTTGGGGGAGGGAGAATGTTAGGGCTGATGGTTAGCCATCTTGAAGGCTTAATGTAATTAAGGATATAATTAAAATGAACAATAAAAAAAATAATAGAGCCATAGTGCAGCATCAGAAAATGTTGCTAACCTTAGGCTTAAGAAATGAACAACAATACTGATAGGTTTGGCTTGAACTGAACTATGTCTAATCCCAGGATCGAATTGAACATCCCCAACTATTTATGGAAAAGTCATTTTTCCCATGAATGTGTACAGTTTGAACATACTTATTTTGATGCCATCTAGTATGTGTGTGTGTGTGTGTGTTTATCTGTGCGTGTGTAAGTACTTTATTATGTTTATTTTTCCAGAAACACCTTCATTTGTTAGGCCTCTGGAAGACAGGACTGTGGCTCAAGGCGAAACAGTGGTTCTGCAGTGCATTGCTAGTGGCAGCCCTACCCCTCGTCTAAACTGGACCAAAGACGATGGTCCTCTGACAGTAACAGAACGGCATTTCTTTGCCGCTGCCAATCAACTCCTCATTATTGTTGATGTGGGATTAGAGGATGCTGGGAAATATACTTGCATTATGTCTAATACACTTGGTACAGTGCGTGGCCATATTTATTTATATGTATTATCTTCACCAAACTGTGACTCATCCCATAGTGGTATTGGAATTGAAGATGATGGCTGGACAACAGTTGGGATTGTGATCATTGTTGTGGTCTGCTGTGTTGTAGGCACCTCTCTAGTTTGGGTTATTGTCATCTATCACATGAGAAGAAAAAGTGAAGATTATAGCATCACTAACACAGGTGGGGAACCTGCAAATTTAATTTTATTCAATTCACAGCATGACAGTTGGTAAAGGGAATTGAGTTATTCCATTTAAAATGGTTTAGTAGAAATATTTTGTTTGCACATCCAGAAATATCTATTTTGGTAAACTATCAAACCTTTGTCAGAGAGGTAATGCCAGAGCCTTTGAATACCACATATACAGTCTCTCAAACTGATCATATACAAAGTCAGATTAACAAAGGTTAAGAAAGCTGTGACTGAATATGCACAAATTTGTCCCTGCTGTTTATGATAATCTTGAAATGTTTAACTGAGGTTATAGCATAACAGCTTTTCAAAAATTAAGTTTTATTGTATCTTGAGAAAAAAGAGTCGTGTTGTGGAATTAGTGTGAAAATTATCAAATTTTTACAGTTTAATAAATGGCAGTAAATTAGCATTAGGAAAGAATAAATGAAAATACTTTCAAGAAATGTTATTCTTCTAGCCATATTAGGGAAGTTTTCATCATTTGTACAATGTGAAGCTATGTTCCTTGATATCCTGCTTGAATATCATTGTCTTGACAGATACCTAATTGCTACTTATATATTAAAAATATAATGGATTACTTTTTTTTTTCCTTTTTCAGAAGAGGTAAATTTGCCTCCTGATATTCCCAGCTACTTATCTTCCCAAGGGACTCTGTCAGAGCCACAGGAAGGCTACAGTAATTCTGAGGCAGGAAGCAATCAGCAACTTATGCCTCCCTCCAGTAGTTACTTACACAAAGTTACAGATGGTAAGCCCTATGTATCTTATTCTTAGGCAAAAAGTGGATTATTGTCCACAGCCAATTTACTGTAACCCACTAAATGTCCCCTTGTTGAGATTTTTCAAAGAATGTGAACTGAATCACAATTGTTCTAATGTAGCAAGGTATTTAGCTTTTTAAGCAAGATTAAAGACATAACTAATCTGTTATGTAATCCATACTATCAGCAGATTCTGAGTTTGTAACATAGGTGCGCTATTCTTGTGGGTGGACCAAACTGGGTGTCAGATCTGAAAACGTTGTGCTCTTTATTGATGCACTCCTTGCATCAGCTAAGGTAAGGCTGCCTGAGCAAGGTTTTCATGGATGTTCTAAATCTGAGGAAACACACATGGGATATGTGCTTCATTTTTTTGGTAAGGCAGTGCTTCTACTATTGGCTATTGTATGGACACATCCTCTCTGGTTGCTCTGCTCTGCCTTGCCCTGCCCTCCATAGCCATTTCACCATGGCTGCAGGACTAGTGATAGAATGAAGCTTTTGTATTTAATCAGTCCATTGGTTGGTTTCCTTTTTTCTTTATGTGTTTTCTTTTTAAATTAGTCCCATAGAAATGATCTAAAATCAGGAAGCTGGTGGAGGAACAGGAAGCTAGGATTGCTTGCTGGGGAAGGAGAAGGCTATAGGGAGAAAAATCAGAGAAGAGAAGATTCTTGTGTTTGCGTGACTGCGCTTGTGTGAACAAGTACAGCAAGGAAGCAAGCAAACCCAGAACCTCTTCTTGACTGTCATAAAGGGGTGGAATGGGGAGTAAAGAAGCAATTCCTCCCCCCTTCTCTTCTAGGGCAGATGTGCCTTCCAGTTCTCCTGGACTAAAATCCAATCATACTTTTGACTAATTGAAGCTCTCCTAATGGCACTTACAAAGCCAAGTGCTGGGAGAAGGCATCTCTTAAAACTGAGGGCAAGGTCTGGGATAAATTGGCAAGAGTTTGTTAGTTTCCTTCTAATTCAAATGACCACAAGAATGCTGAAATTGTGTTATTTTTTCCCCCTGCTGCTAGACTTGTTAAATGCTCGTTTTGAGCCAGCAGCTCCTACAGTGAACAGGAGTTGAATTATTGGGCTAAATTACTTCTAAAGTCTCTTTCAAATGTATGATTCTATTACTTCTGGCTTTTGTTTGCAAAACTGCATGTCCTCAAAGATTTTCCCATAGAAAATAAAGTGTTTGGCACTTGTTTTCCTAATAGAGGTGAAAGAGGTAAAGAAACAAGGGAATCTACCCAACATGAGCCATGGTATCCACCATCTGGAAAACACCTGGCCAGCATCATTGCCAGTTTGAAATCCAAGCAGCAATGTCTTAAGCCAGTTTCCTTTCCACCTGGTATTAACACAGGCAACAAGGCTTTAGGCTACTGTGCAACATTGCTCTGAGATCCTTTATTGCTAGGGCTTCTTCACGCTTGATGAATTGTGTATCAGCCAAATAACCCCTAAAAAGATTGTTATTTGTAGAAACCAACATTTCATTAATGAATAGTATTCATTCTTCAGTCTACAAAGCTATCATGTCATAGTATTCTAACTTGCCACTATTATTCTTTCATTAGGTGGCACAGGGCCATTGGTGATCTGCTCAGATTGTTATGACAATGCCAACATCTATTCCAGAAACAGGGAGTATTGTCCTTATACATACAACACTGAAGATGATCCACTGGATCAGTCATTGTCCAGCCTAATGGTACAGATGTCTAAAGAGCCCTATCCTGGGTGCCCCCAGCATGAAACCACAACTACGAATAGCCTTTCAGATGGCCGAGATAGGTCTGTGTTTCTTAGCAGTCAAGACAGGCTACATGAGAGGAAACCATGCTCTCAGTCCTGCAACAGTGGTAAGTGCCATGTTATCTTTTTTATCTATTGATATTGAAATGATCTCATTTTCATCTGAATAATTAATTGACTGTTGCAAACTACTTAAGACTGCATTACAAAATATACTTTGTGAAACTGCCTTTTACAGAACAGTATTTTACCCATATTGTTGATGTCCAAGATCCATTATTCAAGGGGATTCTTTTAGCAGAAGGTCCACTAATAACATCTATTCATCTTCATAATTAAAAATAAATGTCAAATTTGATTTTACTGGGTTCCAAATATAACATGTAAATACAATTTGTTTATGAAGAGGAAGCCAAAGGAATAAGTTATATAAACATTGCCTTTGATATTCCCAGAGGTCTATTTTTATTTGATTTCCTGTACGAAAGAAAAAAAAAATACGAAAAGAAAAAGAAAAAAAGTCAAAAACATAAATATATATATATAGAAAACAGCTGCTTTTAAACATAACATTAAGCTATGACCATATGGAACAATATTAATTAGTCTTTCCACTACATCACTAGAGAGCCAGTTCATAAGTAGACAGTGAATACATGTCATCAGTCCAAGACTGTAAATCTAGGGTGGTTCTATCTTGCTGTTGTAAAAGAGTAAATCTTTTTGGCTGTGCCCTATGGTTTTTAAATCCATAGTTCTTCATATAATATATTTGAAATATTTGGTACATAATTCCAAATCACATAATAATAACCATATTGCTCTTCATAAAACCATATTAACAAACTTATGGATTTTAACTGAAACAGGAAAATAATGGGACAAGACTACAGATAGTCCTCGACTTAGGACCACAATTGGGACTGGAACTTCTGTCACTAAACAATGCGGTCATTAAGGGGGTTGTGCCTGATTTTACGACCTGTTTGCCACAGTCGTTAAGTGAATCACACAGTTGTTAAGCGAATCCGGCTTCCCCCATTGACTTTGCTTGTCGGAAGCCCCCTGGGAAGGTCACAAATGGCAATCACATGACCCTGGGATGCTTCAACCGTTGTAAATACATGCCAGTTGCCAAGCACCTGAATTTTGATCAAGTGACCGTGGGGGACGCTGTGATGGTCATAAGTGCAAGGATTAGTTGTAAGTCACTTTTTTCAGCGTGTCATAACTTCAAATAGTCATTAAATTAATGGTCGTAAGTCAAGGATTACCAGTAGATTGTCTGTATAAGTGTTCCCCTCTATCATTTTACTTTCCAGCATAATGAAATTGATAGCCATACCTTTTAAAACATTCTCTCAGGTCTCCAATAAACATGAAAAAGTCTTTTTTGAATTGATCTCATGCTAAGATCATAAGACTTAAATAAGACTTAATATTTAAGTTTCTTGCAATTCATTTGTAAATATAGTATATTCCAAATTTTTGTTCCAGCATTCTTCCAAATAATATTTACCTTAAAAAGACTATTTGTGTTTTTGACCAAATAGTGAAATCAAAGTATTTTAATATAATATGCTGCCATTCCATAGTTTTAGACAGTGTGAATTCTTCTTTCAATATTT